TGAAGCTGATGTCAACCAAGCACTAGTCGAGTTCTTCGCCTCTAAAAATAAATCATTTTTTAAAAATGGCATTTACAGTTTGCCATCGCGCTGGCAAGAAGTCATAAGTAACGATGGAAAGTATATTCTACAATAAATATTATTAAATGTATGAAAATTCTGTTATATTTCAATTCAAAAACGGACAGAACTTTCCAATAGACCTAATATATATTAATTTCATTGTTACATCTAAATATACATCGAATCCATAGGATTACTCATTTTTCCTGTAACAAACATATACATGTATGTAGGCAGTCGCAGCATTCGATCGAATACGCTATAAACAATGCTACACTCGTCGCATCATGCAGCCCTTACGCTAATTGTTATGCTCGACACCGTGCTTCGCGACGAGCGAAGATCGCGTTAACACTTTCACAACCGCTGACACCACTGTGGTGTCATGGGCAGGCCAGTCGTTGTATGCCTGTCTCTTATACACATCTAGATGTGTATAAGAGACAGATGTATTATGTTTTGTATTATGAATATTATGTTTTATTTTATTACTGTATATTATATATTATTTCTTCACTTTTTCCATTGTTAATGAAACTTTTTTTACCTATTAAATAACTTTATACCTTATGCAGAAATTATAACTATATTGTTTTAAAGAAAAATCCCTTTTCTTCCCAAATACACTATCCACGCGCAATGTGCACAATTTCGGCGGGTGGTTCCGTTCAGGCTGTCTCTTATACACATCTAGATGTGTATAAGAGACAGATGTATTATGTTTTGTATTATGAATATTATGTTTTATTTTATTACTGTATATTATATATTATTTCTTCACTTTTTCCATTGTTAATGAAACTTTTTTTACCTATTAAATAACTTTATACCTTATGCAGAAATTATAACTATATTGTTTTAAAGAAAAATCCCTTTTCTTCCCAAATACACTATCCACGCGCAATGTGCACAATTTCGGCGGGTGGTTCCGTTCAGGCTGTCTCTTATACACATCTAGATGTGTATAAGAGACAGATGTATTATGTTTTGTATTATGAATATTATGTTTTATTTTATTACTGTATATTATATATTATTTCTTCACTTTTTCCATTGTTAATGAAACTTTTTTTACCTATTAAATAACTTTATACCTTATGCAGAAATTATAACTATATTGTTTTAAAGAAAAATCCCTTTTCTTCCCAAATACACTATCCACGCGCAATGTGCACAATTTCGGCGGGTGGTTCCGTTCAGGCTGTCTCTTATACACATCTAGATGTGTATAAGAGACAGATGTATTATGTTTTGTATTATGAATATTATGTTTTATTTTATTACTGTATATTATATATTATTTCTTCACTTTTTCCATTGTTAATGAAACTTTTTTTACCTATTAAATAACTTTATACCTTATGCAGAAATTATAACTATATTGTTTTAAAGAAAAATCCCTTTTCTTCCCAAATACACTATCCACGCGCAATGTGCACAATTTCGGCGGGTGGTTCCGTTCAGGCTGTCTCTTATACACATCTAGATGTGTATAAGAGACAGATGTATTATGTTTTGTATTATGAATATTATGTTTTATTTTATTACTGTATATTATATATTATTTCTTCACTTTTTCCATTGTTAATGAAACTTTTTTTACCTATTAAATAACTTTATACCTTATGCAGAAATTATAACTATATTGTTTTAAAGAAAAATCCCTTTTCTTCCCAAATACACTATCCACGCGCAATGTGCACAATTTCGGCGGGTGGTTCCGTTCAGGCTGTCTCTTATACACATCTAGATGTGTATAAGAGACAGATGTATTATGTTTTGTATTATGAATATTATGTTTTATTTTATTACTGTATATTATATATTATTTCTTCACTTTTTCCATTGTTAATGAAACTTTTTTTACCTATTAAATAACTTTATACCTTATGCAGAAATTATAACTATATTGTTTTAAAGAAAAATCCCTTTTCTTCCCAAATACACTATCCACGCGCAATGTGCACAATTTCGGCGGGTGGTTCCGTTCAGGCTGTCTCTTATACACATCTAGATGTGTATAAGAGACAGATGTATTATGTTTTGTATTATGAATATTATGTTTTATTTTATTACTGTATATTATATATTATTTCTTCACTTTTTCCATTGTTAATGAAACTTTTTTTACCTATTAAATAACTTTATACCTTATGCAGAAATTATAACTATATTGTTTTAAAGAAAAATCCCTTTTCTTCCCAAATACACTATCCACGCGCAATGTGCACAATTTCGGCGGGTGGTTCCGTTCAGGAGTGGCGCTACGGCGGACTGAACCGCCGTAGCGAAAGGGTTAATAACATGCGGTTGTGAAAGTGTTAACGTGTATAGAACGACAAACGTATGGTTCGTTGACGGTCGAAACTTGAGATCATCCGACGGGAGATCGGTTTTCATTAAGCCCCGTAGCTGTATGATTAATAACGATATCGCTAATCTATTTTGTACATCGAAAGCATCGCGATAACGCTCTCCTCGTCCTTTCAAACTGTCGCGCACACGTGGAAACAACGCACATTTTTACAACCAACGAGTAAGATTACCTTTTGATGCGGCTCGAATCGGCGTTACTTTTCACTCTGCTGTAGAAAACATTCGTTACTAGTAGAATAGATCTCTCAGTGGTAAGAAATTCTACGTTCTACGCAAACGTCGTGTAAAATTGTAACTCGTTATCCCGTTTATCGGTGTTGCGCTCGGTTCTGATTATTCGCAGTAAGTCTTTTCGGTTGTCCTCAGTACGAAGATCTTCTCGCGAGAAAGGTAAAGGAGATCTCGAAGGTGGTTCTGTTTCACTGATCGAACGTTGGTCAGTTATCTATCGGTTTCAGTGGTAAGATAAGTTGAAGGCATCGGTGATTATTTACGCGAACTATGTATGTATACGTACCTAAATATTTATTTATATATTACACCGACGAACGGTCCGCTACTCGAGTTCCAACGATGTTTGTTACCACGATGTTGTGTTTAATATTACACTGGCATGCGTTGGAGTTTTATCAACTTTAGGTTCACGGAGCGCCAACAGCGACGATTTTGTCCTCGAAATAAAAAAATGTCTCGCAATCCGAAACCGGAGGATTCCTCAGGTCATTTGAAGCAACTTTTTCCTTAGCGAAAATGCGATCCGCGGCTTCGTTTTCGAGTTATTGGCGAAAAACAGTGACCAATGAGAGGCGAAATCAGCTGCCGCGAGGTGGCCGAGCCAACGGCGCCAGCGGTCGAGGCGGTCGAATCCCAGCTCAGCTGGCGCGTGGCGGCGAGCCAATCAGCGGAACTGTGCGTCATGCGCTCGTTGGCTCCGCCGCCTTGCGTCAGCCGAGCTCGCCTCTCATTGGTCCCTATTTTTCGTCAATAACTCGTAAACGAAGCCGCGGATCGCATTTTCGCTAAGGAAAAAGTTACTTCAAATGACCTCAGCAATCCGTCTATTTCCGAATTGCGACGATAAATTAGAAAATTTTGAACGCATTTTGACGCGTTCCGTAAGCCTAGCGTTGAAGAAAATAGCGGACCATTCGTGGGCGTGTCTTGAACTACATCGTTACATTGGCCCCATCGGCGGGAATCGTTTGAAATGTTTCGACTTTTCACGCGGCCATTTTCTTTCTTCCGGAAGACCATCCGAGATATATCGAAATCTCCATTCTATCCTTAACACTTACCGAACGCTGTAAGCATTTCTACGCTAGCTAATCCATATTTCTGCTTGACGCGATCATCGGGCGAAATGATTTCGACGATTAGGATCGCTAATGTATTACGGTCGAACACAATTGTTGTGCGTTCTTACAGAAGGTGCACGACGACGAACTCGATCACCGTATGCCGTCTGGGTTCCAGTGGTCGTTCAATTTCAACGATTAGAGACGCTTATGGCCACCGAAAAATCAGTCTTCCTTCCTTTTAACTTCTCTTTCAGTGCGACTCGTCTGTGTCTCCTAAGGCACGTATTCACCGAAAACTGTTTCGAAATGGCTACGAATCATTCGCAACCGCGATCTACCGTTTCTTTACATGCTGCTTCGCGATTTGTTCTGCGACTAACTCGGTTTGCCCGCTGCTTCAAGGTTTATGGTCAACGTTCATGGCCTTCGAAGACGCAGTTACATGTTAGGACATATTGGGCAGATGAAAAAATCTTCCTTAAATGCACTGTAGCATTTATCCCAGTAGTACCATCGTCGTACCGAAAAGAATGACGAGAAACTTCTTGGACAACCTGATACATTCGACCATCGCTCGGCGAGCCTAGCAAATGGCAACCTGTTTCACTTATTACAGGCTCCGCGTAATTGAATCGCATCCATCGACTCGCTTAACTCTTTGCCCTACAACCACGTCTGAGAGACGTGGTCGGATAATCGAGCTAGAAATGATTATCACGTCTGAGAGACGTAGTCAAAAAATCGGGTCAAAAATAATTATCACGTCTGGGAGACGTGGTAAAAAAATCGGGCTAGAAATGATTATCACGTCTAAGAGACGTGGTCAATAAATCAGGCCAAAAATGATTATCACGTCTGAGAGACGTGGTCAGATAATCGGGCCAAAAATGATTATCACGTCTGAGAGACGTGGTAAAAAAATCGGGCCAAAAATTATTATCACGTCTGAGAGACGTGGTCAGATAATCAAGATAGAAATGATTATCACGTCTGAGAGACGTGGTAAAAAAATCGGGCCAAAAATTATTATCACGTCTGAGAGACGTGGTAAAAAGATCGGGCCAAAAATTATTATCACGTCTGAGAGACGTGGTAAAAAGATCGGGCCAAAAATTATTATCACGTCTGAGAGACGTGGTAAAAAGATCGGGCCAAAAATTATTATCACGTCTGAGAGACGTGGTAAAAAGATCGGGCCAAAAATTATTATCACGTCTGAGAGACGTGGTAAAAAGATCGGGCCAAAAATTATTATCACGTTTGAGAGACGTGGTCAAAAAATCGGACGAGAAATGATAATCATGTCTGAGAGACGTGGTAAAAAAATCGGGCCAGAAACGATTATCGCGCCTGAGAGACATGGTCAAAAAATTAGGCAAGAAATCATTATCACGTCTGAGAGACGTGGTTAAAAAATCTGGTTAGAAACGATTATCACGCCTGAGAGACGTGGTCAAAAGATCGGGCCAGAAATGATTATCACGTCTGAAAGACGTGCTGCGATTTTTACGATTCTTAATTATTTACTGCTCATATGAAAGTCAATCGATTTCGGAGAAATTTATAATTCACCGAGATAAATATAATTCACCGAGATCTGCAAAACACATCTTTTAAATGTTCGTTTCGTTCTCAGATAAAAAAGTTAAAAAACAAGAATCTTTTATATTTTCTTTCGTCATTCTAAGCAATAGCAACCTTTAAAAAAAGCATTCTAGTCATGTTCTAGTAAACTGACCGCTCTATGATCTAAAAAAAAAATCAAGTCGTTCAGTCCACTTCTAAAAAAGTTACTGCGTTTTGAAAAGTGTCCGAATATTAACGGGAATCGCTGTATTTACATTCCGTAAGAAGTTCGCGATTGGCACAACTTCCGACGTTTCGTGCAACCGTGTAAGGTTGTTATTGTTTCTGGCACACGTTCTCGAAGCTTAAATCGTAGGGCAAAGGGTTAAACGAAAAAGTACCATTAGTGTCGTTTAATTACCAATACCGTAAGCGTCGGCTTACCGATAGCTACATTTTCAAAACAGCTTCGCGTAGCGTCATCGTCCCCATAGCAGAGCACCGCTCGTACAGCGATGGCTCCCCATGATCTGCACCCCAGAGTCCACGAGACCGATGGAACGCGAACGTGCCCGGTTCTCGTAAGCTGACCGTCGCTGGAACAACGTTCAATTAATTCGCCGACGACGTTGGCCGGCCACGCTTGTCATTCGACATCCGTCGATCGATTCCCCGAGGAGCGCGGTGGTCGCGACGAAAACACGGTGGAAGGTACGCGGGAACGTTCGTTCGGCAGGCATCGATCGGATCCGCTGTAATTCGAATTGCTCGGTCGCGAGGCGTCGCGGCGACGGCCGATGCCTTAAAACGAGTCCTCGGCTTCGTCGGTGTCGATCAGTGGCACCCTCTCGTACCGGAGCACGCTGCTCGTCCCGGGCGTCTTAGACTGCTAAAGCTCCATGCTCTTGATCTCGTTCTCGTTCATGTGACCTTGGGAGGAGGACGGGGTCGCCTCGACCAGCCCTTCGTCCTCGCCCTCCACCTGCTGCTTGTCCACGCAGTAACGGCAACGCATCTTCGCGTCGTCGCCGACCCGCACCGATCGCGTTATGATCACCAGGGTCGTCAGGCTCATCACGAACAGCCCCGACGGCACGATCACGGCGATCAGCAGTTCCGTGCGCGTCTTGTTCAGGTCGAACCGTGCCACCACGAAGAACGAGTTGTTCTGGAACAATGCCGGTCGATCGCCGGGTCAGAAAACACTGTGCGACAAAATCGAACTTTTTGTCCGATTTCCTATAGCCGCTATGAAATTCTTGTAGAGCTTCACTTCCCGATCGAGGATCCGAAAACCGAATTGCTCCATCACCCTCGGTTTTCGAAAAAAACGAGCTTTCGTAAGAACCAAAAATTTTCGACAAAAATTAGGTATTGCATGAAAAGTACAAACGTTAGAAAGTTCTACTCGGTCTCGAAAGATAAAGGGAATGTTGGGATTATGGAATGGAAATGAATATGATTCTAATTCTTTTCTTAAAAAGACTTTATTTTATTCCTTTATTGAGAGAAGGTGTATGGGCGAAAACGATCGAGCGACCAAACTCTACTGAGAGTCCGGTAAGAAAAAACGCTCCTTTTATACCCTTTTTGGGTTCGTCTTATCCACCAATCAGAGACGTTTTATTTGTCGCGTTTCACATTGTATACGTGACGCTGGGACCCCCAAACAGTCAGGGTACGATGTATATCTAATGGTGATGATGTATATCTAATGGTGATGATGTATCGCGGTATCTACTATATACAGTTTACATCACCGTCGTTGCCCGCTGACGGAACCGGCGAAAATGTAAACCGATATCTTAGTATCTTAGTACTAAGTAAACTATGGATTAATTTTTGTTCGAGGCTAAAATTTCAACAGGGAAGTTTCCCGAATATAGTGGCATGTAATTTATTAATTGTTTTTGGTCCTAAATAGCAATAAACTAATGTCAAAGTTTAAAAAATTATCGACGTGCGCAGTTTCTGCGCAATGTTTTTGTATTTTTACGAAAAGTTCTTTGTTCGGCACGAAAACTCTACCCGGGATCGGATTCTGTAGACATTTCTGAAGAAGAAACGGTCCGATAGAACGATCTTATAGAAGTAAGAATCGTACTTCTATATTCCTAAAACCATGTTTGTCGTACTTTTTAATTTATGATTCACAGTTTCGTGATTATTATCCGCAGAAATATGTAAAAGAAAACAGCACATTGAAGTACTAAAAAAAAATTCAAAGTGGCACGCCCCACGCAAAGTGGGTGCCCCATTGGATCCCTCTATCGGTGTTGATTACGCATAGCTTCGGCCCTGTCGGACGGAGAGAAGCGAGTAGCGAAGCACATGGCGGCAAAACGTTGTGTACATGTTTCCGACGCATATTTTCTCGATCTACTCGAAATGAACATCGTTCCGACACTTTTACCAGGCCGTTTTTTCTACAGAAACGTCTACAGAATCCGATCCTGGGTAGAGTTTTTGCGCAGGACAAACAACTTTTCGTAAAAGTACAAAAATATTGCGCAGAAACTGCGCACGTCGACAATTTTTTAAACTTTGACATCAATTTATTGCTATTTAGGACCAAAAACAATTAATAAATTGCATGCCACTATATTCGGGGAACTATCCTCTATCTTTTGAGACCGATTAGAACTTTCTAACGTTTTTATTTTTCATGCAATACCTCATTTTTGTCGAAAACTTTGGGTTTTTACAAAAGCACGTTTTTTTCGAAAACTGAGAGTGATGGAGCAATTCGGTTTTCGGATCCTTGGTCGGGGAGTGAAGCTCTACAAGAATTTCACAGTGGCTATAGGAAATCAAAAATCGTGTCGGACAGTGAAACAGCTCGGCGACGGTCCGTGATCGCCGATTACCGTTACTCGATGCCGAGACATGCTGGTTCGGAAACAGTAGAACAGGAAATGGGATCGAACGGTCGTCTGGGAATAAGCAGCGAACGATAACCGATCATGGTGGGCGAGAAGTCGGCTTAGATTGTACTTCGTCGACGAAATTTTCGTCGATGAAATTTTCGTCGTTGAATTGGACTGGGATTGAATTGGACGAGAGTTGTTAGAATGTAAACTTGATTCGATGCATTTATTCGATAGATATTGTTTGTATTGATTTGTCGGTAGGAAGTAACGTTTCGAGTAAAATGATACAGCAATGTCTCTCTAATTGACGCTCAGATTGTGCACAAAAATGGACAATTTGGAAAGAGGAGATACGATTAATTCTAGCCTTGCGGTTCGTTTTTATAGTTACGAATTGTCAACAATTACAAAAACGAGCCGCGAGGCTGGAATAATCGTATCTCCTCTTCCCAAATTGTCCATTTTTCTGCACAATCTGAGCGTCAGTTAGGGAGACATTACTGTATAACGTTGGTAGAAATTACTTTATTTGAATCAAAGGGCCTAGCCGATTAAAATGGTCAAAATTGCCCTTCGAGATTTTTTAACGAGTATTATACTTATTACGAGTATTATACCAAGGAAAACTCATCTGTGCAAAATTTCAACCCCGTAACTTGTCCGTGAGGGTGGTTACAGGGTAAATTAGATTTGGGCGCTTTTCCGCCCATTTCCCCCTTCGGTGACTTTTGAAAATTTTGAAAAAAATGTGGCCTATTTTGGACATCGAGCCGCATATTATAGAATTTTTTCAGATTTTTCGGTTGCAAGCTGTGATTATCAAAAATGGAAAACCAAAAAAAGATCGGAAAATTGAAGATATCTCGAAAACAAAAATACTGAGCCACTCTGAAATTAATTCCCTGATAAGGTACTGTCACAAGCAGTGCGTACAATTATTCTCAGATTTTTCGTAGAACTGCGAAATCGTCAAGAAAAGAAATGAAAATGTTTATCGACGTTTTTGCTGCGAGGAAGAAAATTACTGTTTATTGAGTTTACCGCAAGTATAGATTAAGTAATTTTAAACGTTATTACATAGAAACGAGTAATTTTTTAAAACAAAATCTAACAAGTATCTTACATTTGGAAGTGCTATTTGAATAATTTGTTAATAATCTAGTTACACGGACAGTGGCCGCGGTATGTTTGAATGGAAAAATGCTGGAATGCAAATGAAGCGTCGTAAAATGAGATCGTTCAACGGGGTGTATGCGTGTATATACGGTAAATTGCATTTCGCGTTTCACGTGCAACCGTGTCATGAGTGCATTTCAAGTAGCGTGTGCATCCACTTACTTCGTGGATAATTATAAACCAAACGCGTACGCGCCGTGAAATAATACGCTCGTGTGTTATGAATTTGACGCTGAAGTGACCTGTACTTAATTGAGAATGTGTATGCATAAAACGTTAGTCGTTAGGTACACCCGTACACGCTTTCCCGGCATGCCATGCCATCGGGGTATTGGGCTATACAGTTTTAATCCAGAAGTCAATCTAGATACGCGGCACGTCGTTCGCAATTGATTCCGAGAGTGTTCGCGTGAAATTACTTTCTGTTCAAATTCGCTTTTTGCGCGCCTGGTTATGGAAAACTCAATCTCGCATAATTTCGTGAAAATACTTTCGATCGCGTGAAACTCGACATATTAGAACAGTTTTGCAAAAACTGCAACGAATTTTGTATCTCATTTGGAATGTCGTAAAATTCTCAGCAGGATAAAGCAATTTTTAACTATAAATATGTATACAGGGTGAGCCATAGTTATGTTAATAACCGGAAGGGGGTGATTCCTGAGGTCATTCGAAGTAACTTTTTCCTTTACAAAAATTTTCTCCGAGGCATCGTTTACGAGTTATTAACGAGAAAACATTGACCAATGAGAGGCGAGATCAGCTGGCGGTAAGCGACCGAGTCAACGAGCGGTCGAAGCCCAGTTCCGCTTATTGGCTCGGCCGCCGAGCGCCAGCCGAGCTCGCCGCTCATTGGCCAGTGTTTTTCGTTAATAACTCGTAAACGATGCCTCGGAGAAAATTTTTGTAAAGGAAAAAGTTACTTCGAATGACCTCAGGAATTACCCCTTTCCGGGTGTTGACTCCTTGTCGTACTTTGACGAGTCCGATTTATCATAAAAATTTCTAATAATAACAACTTATTGAGTGTAGATATTATTCTGTTCTTTCAAATTGGAATAAAATTCTAATCTCTTGTCATCAATATTTAAGCGTTCGAGTAAATTTAGGCACACAATAATCAATTTTCTTTCCTTTTTAAGAAATTATTGAAATCGAAAAATATCTAATCGCAATAACTGCGAAGAAAATGATATGTCAAGGACTTAACATAATTATGGGACACCTCGTATTTGCATAAAAATCCACAATTAAATAATAAAGAGTCTGCTGCAAGGAAAAATTCGTCGACGTATTGTACAAACTGTGCAAAATCACAGTATGGTTGAAGCAAATGTTACTCGGTTTGGGGAGAACTATCAGAAATACTGATACTAAGATAAATACTGATAATAAATAAATAAATGCTGAATGATGAATAAATAAATGCTGAATGCATAAATAAATACTGATGATAAATACTGAAATACTGATAGGATACTCTTTGCAGCATTTAATTAAAAAGAAATAAAAGCGATACAATCGCGATATCCTCGGAAAGTATCTGTAACGCTTTACGCGACCTGTATACCATTCTCGGCCAATGTCGGCGAGTATAGCTACCAAGAAATTGACCCTTAAGTGCGCGGTGTATACGATCAGAAAGCAAGCTTCAGGGTTAAAAGATGAAAGAGCTCTTTCTTGGTAAATGTACGTACCTTATTATAGTAACAGGGGTATCTACTCTGCGCTGTCTGATTGTCGCCATCCCGGCCGTGACTGGCTAGAAAATCTTTACATTCTCCCTTGAGCGTGTTTACGCAGCCTTCGAGGTTGATGAAGAGACGCGAACTATTGTAGATCGTGAGCGACCCTTGCGCCGGCATATAGACGTTCGTCGTGTCGAAGGGATACTGCAAGCTCTTCTCGTATATGCTCAGAAAGCTCGTAAAGTTGATGTGCGGTTGCGGAACCGGAATTTCCTTCAAAAAAGTGCCATTCACGCAGTCCTCTGCCCTGCGCAAAGCAAAATCGACCTTATCAAACGATCTCTGCAAATATCTCGGACACTATTCTGTCATCTTATTAGCTTGGAACAATACTTGTACGGCGATGATCTATTCTAAAAAAAAAATATTAATTCAACATATTTGAATTCCATTGCCGTCCAAGTAATTACTTCTTGAGTACAGTTTTATCGTGAAAATCAATTTTTCTTACGTTCCAGAGAATTTTATTTTCACCTTCAAATTTTGAGTGTTTCTTATCGTAAAAAATTGAACATATTACATTGACTGTTCACCGCTATCGAACCGCCTAACGGATGCGCTTTTCCACCTGGTTACTCTGGCCGCGACCGTCCCCGTTGCGCGGTCGCGATCCATTACCAGGCGAAACATCCGTCAAAATGAACGGAGAAAGCGCACGGAGAGACATCGAAATAAAAGAAACGCGCAGGAAACACGCGAGTCGGAAAAATGTGGCGTTCGGGTGGATCGGGCAGCGCCGGAGGATCAATGGTTGCCATGGAAATACCCTTATCGGTGTCTTCTGGGCTCCTAAGAAAGGGAATACGCGAAAACGTCACGTGTCCCTGATAAGAATTAGACAAGAAACCCTGCTTGTCTTCTGGAATTTCGTGATATTTTTTCGACTGTGCGATTTATAGGCCGCGGATCTTTCTTGCGAAATTCAGAACATCTGCGCCGATTCCAAGGGATCAAAATTCGAATTTTTATGACCATTATATTGGGTCTGGGAACAAGTTCGTGGCGTTTCCCCGATAGATGTCGTCAATTGTTAACACGTTCCGTGCCGAGCTTTTTTTACTCGAATCTTCACACTTTGATATTTTACTAAAACTTGATGTATTACGTGCAATTATTAATTCTCGTACACATAACAACGTAACAAAAACTTGTCAACGCCCATTCTTGCGGTGGAAATTGATTCTTCGGTTCTAAATTTCTTGTAAACAATTTGTTCAGTTCACTAAGTAAACATGCAAGCGTGTACCATCGATGGTACACGTGGCAGGGAACGTGTTAATAACTCACGAACAACTTATTACAACAATACCATTAAACGCTTCATTTAAAGGTGACACATTGAACGTTATTTTGGGCGTATAAACATCGTGGTGGTGCAATACTTGGAAAGTTGTTGGCGTTTGAAAATGGAGAGAAACAATGAGAAATTTTTCTATGTTTTACAATATTATTACAACGAAGGGAAGAACGCTGCGCAGGCTTGTGAAAAAATTTGTGCTGTGTATGGTGAAGGTACATTATCAAAATCAGCTGCGCAGAAATGGTTCGCTCGCTTTCGTTCTGGTAATTTTGATGTGAAAGACGAGTCATGCTCTGGTCGTCCAGTTACTGAAAAAACTAATGAAATTGTTGAAAAAGTTCAGCAAGATAAGCATATTAGCAGTGTCGATATTGGTATGGAACTAGGCATTG